AGGATTTGTTCAGATTGCATAAAATAGATCGTGAGAGATTGGGTTAGATTTAAAAAACCTTACTTATTTTTATGTTGCTTGAAACACATCTATATACTTATTGTCATGTGTTCCCATTTCTAGGATGTTCCTCTTAGTGCCCTTTATCCCTGAGTCATTACTAAGAGCAAGCACTCTTTTGCTCTTAGCTGTCACAGATTGAAGGAAAAATCACCTAGGCACCCTGTTGGCGAATGGCCTTGTTTAAACATGGAGAGGCTTGGAAACCCACCTATGTCATTGTCGCATGTCTTGCTGTTCTTGGAGCCCTTTATTGCACCGTGACCTGTATCTTTTGATATCCAGCTGGATCTTTAAAGCACAGAAATAGAAGCTCTAACCATCCGTTATCAAAACCAGGTTAAGATTACAACCTCTCTGTGTCCTAGATACAGAAAGGGTCCCGGAGGATTTAGGGAGGATTTGATGATGTCTTTGATCTATATGGTAAAATTATAGTACAAAGCAGATCGCCCATTCTAAGCCATCCGTTTCACCACCGTGAGCACTACCTTGAATCATGAGGATGCTCAAGTGTAGCTGGAAACTCTGGATTGGAGAGTCCGAAAATTCTTATCGCAGTGATTATTTATAGGTGTTTCGTAGAATATGATTTCTTAATCTCCTCTGTTTCATTTATAATATAGGAATAGCTTAAATTCTCTGGTTGACAGGAGCTCAAATGAAGTAATAATAATAGTAATCATAGGTGATTGTTTATTAAAAAGTTGGAAATCTCATAGAGGTTTCTTCATGTTAAAGAGTGCTTTAAAAACTTTTTTTTTTTTTTACATAAGCTGTTTTAATTTTTTAAAAATATGCCTTCCAGGAACTCATTATATAAATGCCTCTAAGTATTATTAGTAATATAGAAACAACAATAAGAGTAGTGTTGTAGCTAGGTAATGTGATAAAGCAGAATTCACAGTGGTTTGGAGATAAGGGGGAGAGGAGGCCAATGCACACATCAGTGAGGGGTGGTAATTCAGTGCATATGCTCTTAACCACTTCACTGATTTGCTCAGGGTCTCGGATGCTCCTGCCTTGGGCTACAGGAAAATGGCACTTTTCCTGTGGTAATCCGTGGCCCAACCTGCCCACTAACTGCTGTCAGTCGTGTCAGGTCAGAACAGTTATTCCTAAGCCATAAGTGTTGTCTTTGGCAAAGGTACTTTGGCAGCAGGGTGGGTAATTCTTCTGTGTTTAAGGGCTGGCCTGACTTTTGTGGGAGCAGCATGTGACTAGTAAGTCCAGCAACAACTATGAGTTGTGGTGCCTGCTTCAGAGTTTGAGTCCTACCTGATACTGTTGTGGCTCCTTTTGACAGAGTTAGAACATGGTTTCTACCCTTCTGGGGGAGGTAAGCGCTGAGGTGTTTTAGTGTCAAATGCCGAGGCTTCTCTTAAATATTTTAACCATTCAGATTGATCTGAAAGTACATTGATGACTTTATATAAAACAAGGCTGCCACACAAACTTGCTAAAGTTTTGAATACATACCTTTTCCTAAAACATGTAACTCTCCCTCAGCAACAACATCCACGGCACATTGATCTCCATGGTAGTCTGTCTGTCTGTCTGTCTCTCTCTCTGTCTCTGTCTCTGTCTCTGTCTCTCCCTCGCTCCCTTCCTCCCCCCTCTTGTGTAACATTGCAAATCGAGCAGAATTGTCCAGGAGGACATAACCACTGGCTGGTTCGCTAAAGCCTTCATGTAACAGCATCGCCTTCATTCTGTGCCTCCATTCATGTCCTGGGAGCAAAGATTGATAGGCTGGGTACCTTCAAGAGAGGTGTCCACATCTAGGTGTGCATGGGTCCTAGATAAGGTCTGGAACAAAATGGCCAGAGCTCCTATCACAATTCCTGAGGAATGTGCAGTCTGCTTAGTGACCTTATGTAAATCCCCAAGTGTTTTATTCTTCCCTGTCCTGTTGGAGAATATTATTTTAAGGTGTGCGACTATTGTTTATGTTCTGGAATATTTGTTTAATGATGTAAAGATGTGTAATTAAATAAAATTAAATAAAATTCACCTGCTATCAGGAGGCTGGGTCAGCAACTAGCTGCCAGGAAGTTATAGGGAGGAGCCAGGTGGAGAAGTGTTTATGAGGAGGAGGTGAGAAAAAGCACTTGGACTTTTTGGGAGACACAACAAGGTGAGCTAGGTGAGCTGCTTGATATTCAAGCTCTCTGGACTTTTATCTGTCTTCTGTATATCTTAATTTTCCTCTTCATGGATGGTCCCTGACATCCTCCTCTTCTTGTTCTCTTCTCCTCCTTTCTCCTCCTTGGTTCTCCTTCTGTCTATACTCTCTGCCTGTCAGCCCCTCCTCTCTTTGTTGCTGTCTCTCTGTTGTCCATTCTGCTCCTTATTAGACCATCAGGTGTTTTAGACAGACACAGTTAACACAGCTTCACAGAGTTAAACAAATGCAGCATAAACAAAAGTCACCCACCTTAAAATAATATTCTACCACTCTCTCACTCTTTCTCCTCTCTTCTCTCAGTATTTAGTCCAGGCCAGTATTCTAGCTTTACAGGTATATGCTAAGCTCCCCATGTAAATTTTTGCTATAGCCCTCTAACTGTTGCCACAGCCTTTTAAATCTCACTCGATTAAATCTCTGGTCTTTCCCAAAGAAGCCTTTTAAAAACGCTGTAAGACTGTAACTAGTTTTTAAATGCTCTGCGTCCAGGGCCTTGAAGCATTGGCATTCCAGCTGACATGTGAACCTTCCCCAGCTTACCGATTCTCTCCAAGTCTCTATTCTAATGGCATTTTCCAATTAAAACATTCTCTCAAATCCTCCCCACTCCTTGCACTTATGGATGAGAGTCTGTGTATTCTTTTTTGTTTATTATCTCTCTAAATCCAGGCCTTACAAAGTGAAGTGGCAGTCATTTACTGATCTAGTCATTTATTGTGTAGCAGAATGCTGCCAGTACATGGGGGAGACGAACCTCTTGTGAGATGGCTGTAGTATAAGGCCCTGGGTTCAATCCACAGTTGTCGAATTGAGGAGAAAGGAATACCTCTTTATTGCACAGTGATTGGAATGGCCTGGGGGATGAAACCACTATGAATATAGGGAGGGGGTGGTTTGAAAGTCTAGGTAAAGTGGTTGGTATCTCACTTCAGGTTCGAATGGTGACAGCTCCCTTAAAAAAAAAAAATCAACAAAAAACAAAAAAACCCTAGATCAGAGAGGTCACAGACCTGGAGCTGCAGTTCGGACAGACAGGGGTGAGGCACTGTATTAATCCGGTGTACTGCATTTGACATGGAAAGCTGAGTGGTGAGTTTCCTAGCCCCATTTCTGTCAAGTTCCTCAAAGCTAGTAACTAAGTTCAAGTTGAATAATTAGAAAATCATTTTTTACCGGCCATTTACATTTTCCCAAAAAAAGAAGGGGGTCACAGATTTCCCGAAAGCCAAGTCCATGAAGCTCTACCTCCACTCATGAAATAAGAAACAGGACTTCTGTGCATTGTTTTAAGGCCTTTGTCTTAAGTGTGAATGGTTCAGTATCTCCAAGCATTTGAGGAAAATGTGATACAAAAGATTTTGTAATTTTTTTTATAAAGGGTTGACAATTAAGAAAGACAAGGCCACAGTGTTCTGTTAATGTGAACGAAAACTTAATTGCGTGTCGGCAGGTGGTACCGATGAAAAGGGGAGCCCCAAGCTGAGAAGTACCCCGAAAGCCAAGCTGGGTGTGCAAGAATCCTGTAGTTTTTCTTGCATTGAGATCAGTCCTGAGTTCTCCTACTGGCCATTATTTGATATGGCCTCAAACATTTAGCTTTACATGAGGGCCCATAAACTTCTTCTATCAAGGGCCAGGTAATAAAAATGTTAAACTTTGTAGCCATTCAATCTACAGGCCATAGTGACCTCAATCTGTCACTATACCAACAGAGCAACCCGAGATATCAAATGAACAAGTCATAACACCAACAAGCATGCTATGCCCTAATAGTCTCAATTTAAAAAGCACAAAATAGAAAGCAGACATAATGGTACACAGCTGTAATCCTAGCACTGGGGAGGCTGAGGCCTGGCTGTGAGTCCACAGCAAGGTGAGGTCAGCCTAGGTTTCTTGCAGGTTGTAAGTGGACTGCAGACGACAGTTGCTGACACATGGTCTAGTCTGTCAAAGAGAGCTCTCAGAGCAGGCATGCCATAATACTTGTGCAATGAGAGCAGAACCTAGGAAACACTGAGGAAGTATTCTTTGGTCCAAGAACCCGCAGGATTTGTTACAAGTTTGGGGGCCCTCATATATTGGTTCACTAATATATAACACACACACACACATCAATGCGCATGCATGCGCGAGCACACTTGCACACACAGGCACACACTTTAAAACTCAAAAGGTTGTATTTTGTTCTATTGGAGCTTTGGAATGTAGCCATTTCATGAGGACTGCAAGTTGTAATACTGAGGATTGTCTTAAAACCAAGTGACTATTCTTGGGTAAGGAAGGACTCCTACAATATATGATGTAAAAAACTTGGCAAATAAAAATCTGCAGAAAATGATTAAAGTGATCCTAGTCTCTAAAATGTCAAGCATTCTAACTGCTGCCTTTACTCTGTTGGGATTTTGTCTTCCTAATTGTAAGATATTTTTTATAGATTTTATTTGTTATGTATACAGCATTCTGCTTCCATGTATATCTGCACACCAGATCTCATAACGATGGTTGTGAGCCATCATGTGGTTGCTGGGAATTGAACTCAGGACCTCGGGAAGAGCAGTCAGTGCTCTTAACCTCTGAGCCATCTCTCCAGCCCCCTAATTGTAAGATTTTTAAGGTGCTCTCACAACTCTTACTTTGTAGCCTTGTTTCATGTCTTGAAGGTAAACAGGGCCAGAGTAGGGTTCTTAAGGCAGTTAAGTGTCACAGTCTGCTGAGTCAGAGTCTAAGGACCATCACTCCTCCTGTTTTACAGTAAGCCAATGATGGACTTGCTCGTCTTCCTCTGTGCACAGTACCACTTAAATCCATCAAGTCACACAATTGATCTACTGTCTGCTGAAGAAAATCTCATCAAATTTAAGCCAAACACACCAATAGGAATGCTGGAGGTAGAGAAGGTCATTTTAAAGCCAAAGTCTCTGGACAAGAAAAAGCCTACACCGATAATCCCAGAGGTAAGGATTCTGTCACAGATTTTGATGTACTTACAGCTGAGAAAGTTAATTTTTTGTCAGTGTCTATGGTTATTTCATCATAAGTGAAATAAAAAGTAGATTTCTGGTCTGGCATTTTACAATATAGTTCTCATGTTTTCCTAAAACATTTTTTATCAGCTGGTTATTCATTCTTGGGTGAAACAATTTAGGTATCAAATGCTCTAAAAATGATTGGCTTGGCTGCATCAGGATCTGTCAGTAATAAGTTATGCTTTAAAAAAATTTTACACCTAAATGACATTTTTAAAACCAATGAATATTTAATATCATATTTGACTTCTGTATATTTTATGAAATAAAACATATACACAGATCACAGTTCATTATCCTATATAGTAGCTCGCTCTTCTTTTTTTAATAATTTCTTTTTGTGTGTAGTAAATAAATGTTCAGGTGGATGTATGGACGCCAGCAGAGAGCATAGGATATCCTTCACTCTCTGCCTTGTTGCTTTGAGGAGAGTCTTTCCCTGAACCTGGAGCTATTGTTTTTAGCTACTCTGGCAGCAAGTGCCAGTGGTTCTCTTGTCTCTGATCCCCACAACACAGGAGCTGTAGGCATGCGTACAACCATGCCTGTCCTGCTACATGGATCATGATTGTATAGCTTGCACTGCTAATCACTGAGCCATCTATTCAGGTCCTTAGAATTTTATGTTTTTTTTTTTTTAATGTGTGAATTTAACCAGAAACTTTGAAACACAAAGATGCTAATTTATTCAGTTGATATTCTTAGCATTATTTATTTGTGAATTTGACCAAACCCAGTTCTTCATATTTGCGAGACAGACATTCTACCAGTGTGCCAATGTCCATAGCACTTTTTTTCCTCTTAAAATTAGTCTCATAAAGTTATTGCTATAAACACAGGAGTATAAGTTTATGACTTCAAAAAATACTTCTGAGTTACAAACATCAACATTTTTTACTCTATAAAATTTGTGCACTGACTTGAATACATACATCTTATATCATTGTATAAAATCCTTACTAAAAATGTTGACAAATTTCATGATAAAATATTGGCTTTAATATTTGATCGAATATTAAATATTAATAAGACAGTGGTCTGTCTTCTGTCTAGGTATGAATTTACCTGCTGTATGCACATGCCATTATTCTATATTGGAGCAATTGTATTTATGTTAACAAATAGATTGCCAATATTAGGATCCCCCTGTTATATATAGGTTTAGTTTTGTGAATCAACATCACTGAGGATCAGAAAACGGTAGATTTTGTTTAGTATAGCTACCTATTTCATACTTCCATTTTTACTGGGGGTTAATCCAGTTACATCAAAATAGGGAGACACTTCAAAGTGTGTAAATAATTTTGGAATTACTAGTATTATGTCTAAGTAAGGATGATATCCTTTACTATTTTGATATCTTTTACTATTGTGTTAGAGTTAACTGGGGCAATAATAATATAAACAGCAAGCATCAATGTCATATGTAATATTCACTTACTGATAACTGACCATATACCTGACATGATGCTAGTCTCTTAGTGTGACTGATCTGATTGATCTTGTTAGAAGGATAGTAGTTTTTGAAATACTTGGGGTTTTGTTGTTTTCATGTGTCTATTGACAGGCTATTAACAAGCATTCTTTAACGAACAACATAAAATATGGATATTATTATTGTGTGTATTTGATAATTTGAAAATACTTTAAGATACAATATAATAGTATTAGTAATATTACATATGAATCTTTGTTCTTGTTGGGTTTTACTATCAAGAATTTTACCTGGGTGGTAGTGGCACACACCAGCACTTGAGAGGCAGAGGCAGGAGGATCTCTGAGTTTGAGGCCACCCTGGTCTATAGAGTGAGTTCCAGGGCAGCCAGGGCTACCCAGAGAAACCCTGCCTCAAAAAACAGACAGACAGACAGACAGACAGACAGACAGACACACAGTCTCTCTAAATAGAAACAACCTTAAAATAATTTTGAATTTAATTTACCAGTTATAAAAACAAATTGAGCTAGGCCTGTTGCATGGCTGTTATCACAGATACTTTGTAGGCTTCAACAGGAGAATCACAAATTCAAGTCCAGCCAGGACAACTTAGTGACACTGTATCAATATGAAAATTGAAAATAGCTTAGTAGTTGAGCTTTGTCTACCGTGAATAAAACCTTAGTACTGGTAGACTTTTCTGTCCTGCAAGCCTGCTTCCAAATAACCACACAGAGACTTTTTATTAATCATGAAAACTCAGCCAATAGCTTAGGCTTGTTTCTAACTGGCTCTTATAACTTAAATCAACCCATTTCTATTAATTGACTTTCTGCTTTGTGGCTTTATTATCTTTACTCTGTATGTTCATGCTGCTTCCTCTCTGCCTCCTGGTGATTCCCCACTTCTTCTTCCCAGCATCCTGTGTGCCTAAAAACTCTGCCTTGCTATTGGCCATTAGCTTTTTATTAAACCAATCAGAATGAGACATCTTCACAGTGTACAAAAAGATTATTCCATGACACCTTAAGTTCAATCACTAGGACCATTAAACACACACACACACACACACACACACACACACACACATAACTCTGGATAACACTGCTTAGTGTATGTTTTAATAAATGACCTGTAGTGTAATTATTTAATTCACTGAGAGTTGTGGTCAGTTATTCTAGATACCATTATAGATACCATTGTGGAAATTTGTTTTAGCAAATACATTATGTCGTAACTGGCTTTAATTTACATTTCAGAAAACTGTGAGAGTAGTGATCAACTTTAAGAAAACACAGAAGACCATAGTGAGAGTTAGTCCCCATGTACCGCTGCAAGATCTTGCTCCCATTATATGCAGTAAATGTGAGTTTGATCCATTGCATACAGTATTGTTGAAGGATTATCAGGCTCAGGAGCCCCTGGACTTGACAAAATCTCTTAATGACTTGGGACTGAGAGAGTTATATGCAATGGATATCAGCAAAGGTAAGTGGACTTTCCCCCCCAACTTGAGTGGTGAGTGAGTGAGTGTGTGAGAGTGTGTGTGTGTGTGTGTGTGTGTGTGTGTGTGTCTGTGTGTGTTTTGTATAGTTAGGTGCTCCCAACTTCATAATGCCAAGGGTTTAATGGATCAATCATATACATAGAAGTAAATACATCCTACTGAGGATAAGAAGAAAAAAAAATGAATAGAAGTAAATCAGCCGGGCGTTGGTGGCACACGCCTTTAATCCCAGCACTCGGGAGGTAGAGGCAGGCGGATCTCTGTGAGTTCGAGACCAGCCTGGTCTACAAGAGCTAGTTGCAGGACAGCCTCCAAAGCCACAGAGAAACCCTGTCTGGAAAAACAAACAAAAAACAAAAAAAAAAAGAAGAAGAAGTAAATAAATTAAACCAACCATACAATTTAACTTGGTAGCAATTGTTGAAATGGTCTTCTTGGCTGTCATCAACATTTTATATTTTTCTGTCAACCTAGGAATTCTTTTGGTAGTTTTACATTTCTTTTCCTTATTTGTTTGTTTTGTTTTGTGTATTTTTGATCAGGTCTCACTGGGATGCCTAGCTTGGGCTTGAACCTCTAAGCTCAAGGAATCCTCTTGTCTCAGCTGATTCAGCCATTTAGGATGACAGGCTTTTACCACCATGCACTGCCTTGGGTGGAATTTAACATAATTTCTTGTGCATTTTGGATTTAAATAAAGTACATATTTATGTGCAAGCCCATGGCTGTTCTAATGAAGCAGTAGTTGGTTTATAAAGATTTCATACAGTTTTGTATGAGGCTTAGTTATCACTCACATTTGGACATTTTTTGCTGACTTCTTTTCTTAGGTCAGCACCCAGAGTAAATTAAACCTGCATATAAAGTGAATCATAAAATACCTCCCCAAATTTTTCCAGATAGCAGAGTTTTCATCCATACAAAGAGGGGATACATTAAAATGTGGCGATCTCAAATGAGGTGATTTTTTTTTTTTTCCTGGTGCCTGGTAGACCAAGGCAGTTAGATATTCAGTGAATCTCCTTCATTCAGGGAAATAAGGGTTTAGTGGAGGAGACAGTTAATGCACACTTTCAGACATTCTTCTGAGGGTGTGGCATAGTGTAATCCACAGAGTACTGTTTTGAGTCAGTGATATTTGACAGTTAACGGACACCATCATCACAGTCATTTCCCCCTTTTTACTCCCTCTTGCTGTAGCCCCCCCTGTTACTGCCTTCCGTAAGTCATCCTTCCAAGGTAAGATACACGAATCAGTAGAAACTGTAAATTACAACACAAAATTGGGAGGATTAAAATTGCTATTCTGACCTTAACTTTCTTAACATTACTAACACATACAGAGATTCTGGGGGGTTAATTTCCTAGAAAAAGAATTTATAGGTTTCCTTCTTTGATTTCTGGTTCTAATCATAATAATTTCACTTCAATAGAATGGTGATCGATGATGTCATTCTAGAGCTGGGAATAATAGTATCGATCTGTAATTTCAGTACTCAGGGTGTTTGAGGATTCTGAGTTTGAGGCCAGTCTGAGCTACACATATAAAAACAATCCCAGACACTAAAATCAATACTGAAAATGCATCATGCTAAAAGTCTGGGAAGACTGATTTGTTCTCTGACATAAGAGACAACAATTTGGGTGGAGCCTGCTTGGATACAGTGTGGGTGGATACTTGGATGGTTCTTGGGAGCTGCTTCTCACTGGGCAGCTACTGGGAGAGATGGTACTTGCTCTTTTTTCCACAGCACTTTTTTTCCTTTGCCACCACTTAGTTTTTAATGAAAATGTTAAAACTAGCTTAAAAAGGCATTTCATAGTGTATGTAAAAAACTTTATGTTTTCCCAAAGGAAATATATAAAATGTTTAATAGTGATTAGCTTTGAGGGGTAGGCCTGTGAGCAAGTTTTTGTATTTCTTTGTTACAGGATTTATAATAAATATATATTACTTTCATGGGAAAATTGATTAAAATTATTTAAAAATGGAATCTTTTTCCCTGTTAAAAAAAGGATAGGCTCGGATCTCTGATTTGTCTAATTGTTAGGACCCTGCCTAGAATCGAAACCTTGTTAAACTGCATATGACATGTTGCCAGGCTTTTCTGATTAAGCCAACGACAGTAAATGTATGTTGATTTATTCTCGGTGGCTATTACACGCTAGTCTAATCAAAGAAACTAAAAATTCCTATTTTAAAATATACCCTGGCAGAGAATCAGAAACTAGGCTCTTTAATTCTGACGCTACAGTGGCTGATAGACCAAAGGGGCAAGCTTCGAGGGTGGATAGCTTTAGAAGTCTGGATTCTACTTCTTTGATAGTCTGGAATGGGAACAGATAGTCTTTGCTTTCTTCTAGAAATGGTGCTTGTACTTGCTTCCTCCTCACCACAACCCGTGATCTTCTTTAAAAGTGTTTAATATATTGATTTCTAATGTCCCTTCTATAGCCTAGCTTTCCATGTATGGGGTTTCTCCAGAGGCTTAATAGCTATGGGCAGAACCTTCAAGGACTGGAATTGTGGAGTCAAGAGATCTCCTTTTACCATGACAGAGTCCAGCAGGTCAATCCAAACCCTACTGATGTTCTTACACCCTGATTTGGTGGGATGTCATCAGAAGCCTTCAGACTTTGTGTGCTGTGACTTTTGGCCTCTCTTCTAGAATCAGGAAGTGCAGTGCCTGAGCTGATTTCCTTAATAACAGCAAGGCTTGACATGCCTTGTTTAAGTCTGACAGCTCAGGCATCTGCACACAGCTTTAAGTGAGGAGGGCTGACCTGGTATAGGGGGTGACCAGCTGTCCAGAAAGAAGCATCATTTGACATATTCTGGCTACACTTGCTGAATGGCTCCACCGAGTTTTTGAGTTATTCAAATCTCGGGTCACTTGATTTCTGAAATGTGAATGGAATGCTGTTTTCTTTTTTTTTTCTTTTTTTTTTTTTTTCATTTGTCACACCACGGCTAACATATGCCAATAGAGAAAAATAGCTCAAAATGAAGCTTTTATTTATTCATTCACAGGGTTCCCAGAAATAAAGCATATGAAAAACCTTTAACCTTGAAGTACTGTCCATGTCCTCATGGTTGTTTGTTAGCCTTAGGAAGGCCCTTGTGCAATGTATACTGCTTATTTGATGTTTGAGTTATTGATGTTTCAGTTTGTGAAATACGGTTTGCCTTTAGTATGTTACTGTGACAGATTGTACTAATGCATGCTTTGGTATTAACTGCCTGCCCTACCTTTCTATTCATTGCTAGGATAAGAATGCCCTGACCAAAAGCAACTTGAGAAGGAAAAGGTCCTGATCACAGTCTATCTTATTAAGAGAGGTTGAGGCAGGAACTCAAGCAGGGCAGGGACCTTGTGACAGGAATTGAAGCAGAGTCCATGACTTCCTCAGCCTGCTTTCTCATACAACCGAAGGTCGCCAGCACCCAGATGACATCACCTACAGAAGGCTGGGCCCTCCCATATTGATTATTAATTAAGAAAATGCTCCACAGAGTTGCATACATAGAATCTGATGGCCTTTTCTAAATTGAGATTCCCCCTTTCCATGTGATCATAGCTTGTGTCAAGTTGACACACACACACACACACACACACACACACACACACACACACACACACACACACACACACACACACTAACCAGCACACTCTCTCTGCTTCCCTACAATAGTCTGGACATTGCCACCATTTGTTTATTTTTTTTAAACACTTATTTTAAGTGCAGTCATTTAAGATTGTATGTTTACTTCCAAGTCCCATGTAAATCTTCTCTCACATTTTTATGCGAAGTGCTTTGTTATCAATATCATTAAAATTGCACTGTAATTTGCATAGAATTCTCATTTCTTTGTGGAAGAGATATTTTCATCGTTTACTCCTCACCCCCCTTTGAACTTATAATTCTTTTACTAAAGACACCAACTTTTATCTCCATGGTTTATCTCATAGTCTATCTTTTCCAGGATTGGTCCCATGCACCTTGTGGGTATCACTTCACCTACTTATTTGTTCCTGTCAGCTGACTATAAATCTAGATACTTGACAGGCTTGGGTGAGATAATTTGTGGCAAGAATAGTTCATAAGCACCAAATGATGCTTGTCTGTAGCCCCAGCTCCTCGGGAGGTGGAGGAAGATGATTGTGTAAGCCTCGGGCTGCAAGACCACCCTGAGCTGCACAGAGATCCCTTCTCCAAGCAAACAAAACACCCTTCATAAATAGTGGTTTGTACCTCCACTTAGAGACCCTGTAATAGCATCGCTAATCATCAGCATTTGCTGTGTGCATCTTAATAAGGAACTGAAAGAGAGTGCTAGTCTTATACAGTCTTTTAGCTGCTAGCGCTTAAAAAAATCTTGTGTATATGAATGTCGGGGAGCAGGATGGGATGTCTGTACAGGAGTGTGTGTGCTATGACATGCATGTAGCAGACAATGGATATTGTTCACTGTAGTCCACCTCATTTGCAGAGTCCTTACTGCTGTGCATGCCAAGCTAGAGGGCCCACAGGCCTCCAGGGATTCTCCTGTGTGCTTCCCATCACACAGTAGGAGCACTAGGATTACAGATGTGTGTTCTCTCATTCAACTTTATATGAGTTCAGGGAATCTGAATTCAGTTCCTCATGCTCATGTGATGTTTCGATATATGTGTTTCAAAAATAAACAAAGTATGTTTCAAATACATGCAGTCACTCTTAACTATACTAAATCATCCTGAATTTTGCCAGTGCAAACACTTGTAGGATGGCTCCTGAGTCCTTCGGCATGATTCCCAGTGAACTTTGGTAACATTCACCCTGCTGTCACTAGTTGGTTGTAGCTCATTGCTGTATACAAACAGCAAAGCAACTAATTCCAAGCAGCCATGGTTCCTTCCAGTGGGATACCATTTTGGAAGTATACTGGGACACAGTGGCCTAGCAGCTGGCTTGGTCCTTGGTTATTGATGATGTCATTTGACATTAGGAAACAGACTTTTTTGGGGGTGGTTAGAGAAGTATTATGGATACAGTCTTGAAGTTTGATGATTACCATTCTAACTGAAGTCCAGTTTTTGTAATGTTAACCTTTTAGGGCCTGGTAATTTTGGCCCCAGTAGAACTACTAGGTTAAACAAATAGCATTTGTGACACATTATCTGGTTCATTCTTCCCTCAGTGCCTAGGGGAGATTGGTTCTGAACCCTTGTGGGCATCCAAATCTGTGGAAACTCAAATTCCTTGATAAAGAATTGCCTAGTGCTTGCATCTAGCCTCTACTCACCACCCCTCATATACATTAAGTCATCTCAGGACTATTTCTGACACCCAATACGTTGTAAATGGTCATTATGGTAGGTTTTCGACCAAGAATGATGGCCAGGAAAAAAAAATCTGTATGTATTCAGTGCAGGTTTAATTTTTCTTGGAGCATTTTCCATGTGGGGTTTGTTTGTATCCATTGAAGTGTACTTGCATATAGAGTGACAGCTGTAATTATAATGGCTCATGTTTTGAGAGTGAAATAACACTTCATGGTTGTTTAGCTCTGACAAAATTATAGCTGAAATAAACAAAAGGACAAGCTATGTGAGAGAAGCATCATGTGTCACTTACTATGCTGTAATCTTCTTACTTTGCATCTGAAATGCTGGTAACGATACAGTGCATAAAGAGATGAGTTTGCTGTCTAGCTCTGCCTCTTGACCTTGGCTGTGTGTCTTAGCTTCTTTAAGCTTTATTTGCCTCTGGTCTAAAGCGGTAACTACATTCTCTTGTTGCTTTGAGAATTGGATAAGGTATTTGCTGCCTAGCTGAGTAGCTGTAACTGGCAACGTTCATCACCAGAAATGCTTTTAAAGGAGAGGCTAGAAAAGAAACACTGGAAATGAGTTACACCCATGAACAAAAAAGGAAATTGTTTTTCATCTTCTTCAGAGTCCTGCCAAATGTCACAAACCCCGGACATCGTGAAGGAGAAAGAAAACAGAGGGATTTTCAGCTTTTTCCAACGCAGTAAGAAAAAGCGGGAGCAAGTAAGCATTTTTATGCCACATGTTAAGATTCTTAACGAGTATTTTTACAGTGGTTTCTGCTTGGATTATAAACTGGCCTTGCTTTTTGATTCTCTGTTAGACTGCCAGCGCACCTGCGACCCCACTAGTGAGCAAGCACCGCCCATCTTTTACAAGGTCCAACACCATTTCCAAACCCTACATTTCCAACACGCTACCCTCAGATGCACCCAAGAAGAGACGTGCCCCGCTGCCCCCCATGCCCACATCCCAGGGTGATGCGCAAGGCCAAGAGAGGCGAGCTTCGTGTGTGGTGAGATCCACCAGTGTGGATGACAATGACAAGGTGCACTGGGTTTGGGGTTGTTTGTTTGTTTGTTTTCAGGTTGATGTAGGGAGGCGTCTGTTTTTCTCTCTTTAAGTTGTCCATTTCCACATAGACTACTGAGAAAGAAACAGTTATTAATATGCACTCAGTGGAATAGTTACTGACAAGGTTGATAGAAAAAGGTCATGGATACTCTACCATATCTTAAATGAATGTCAGTTTTAAAACACTTCCATCCTCAAGCTAATACATGACATATAAATTCCCTCTTGCTTTACCTCCTCTAAGCCAGGGTATCTATACTGTCTGCATGTATCAGGAATTAAACGCATATCTTCAACACATACCTTCTGAATAACCACATGCATCTGTTATGTTCCATTCTTGGGTTTCTAACCGTTGGTATCTTCAGAGATTCTCCAGGGGACATCCTGGTGTTTACTTGATCTATCAGTGTTGTTTTTTAAAAACAAACCCTTTACTGGAATATGCTGCTGTTTTACTCATATTGTCTATCCAGAGGGGATGTTCTACGTAAAGCTTTATCAATTTACAAAAAAAAAATACTCATTTTAGTACAGGTGTGTGTTGTATGTGGCATGTGGAAGTGAGAGAACAATGTGTGTGTATTCTATCCTTCCAGCATGTCAGCTCCGGGGATCGAACCTGGGTCATCAGGCTTGGTGGAAGGCCCCTGCCCCTTTACCAGCTAAGCCATCTCACCAGACCACCTCAATTTAAAATAAAGATCTTTAACATTAAAGTTTCCCTCAATATATCTTTTTCTGTGAGATCCATTTGTCTTAAAATATCTATACTTCCCTTGCTTTATTCAGGTGGAGCATAAGTGAGATTTAGGTAAATGTAATAGAACATAACGCCATCTACTTTATTGTTCATAGTCAGGTGGAGTAATTTAAGGGACATTGATGGTAAAAATGTATTTTGAGTTACTTACACCCCAAGTGGTGTTCCAGTATTGAAGCTGAAGGATGTTATCCCATTTTTGGGTGGTGAGCAACCAGAGAAATGAACTCTTTAGAAACTAAGTATTTTCTTATCTACGTTAATGTTGTGGTATAAAAATTTTCATCTTACAAAACATAAGGGTAGTTACTCCCGCTCCCCCCAAGTCATTTGCTGACAAAACTTGCAGGGTATCTGTTCTGTAGTTGGACAGTGGTTCTCAGAAAAGGAGATCTTTGTGTTTAGTCATAAATGTGTGTGGGAAGGAGTACAATAGTTGGGTGAAAAACTCCACTCGGATTCCAGAATGTCAAGGATAAGGCATGCTTAGGCCTGAGCAAGGGTCAGACTGGCAACTATACAAGGAAGACAGGACAAGGCTGGTCCTAAAGGCTTCTTTTTGTGTTACAGCCCCTTTCTACTACTTAATAGGAACAAGAACCTTTGGAAGATTACTTTCCATTTTAATTACCTTAAAACTGAACTATAGTAATATAAACTATTATATGCTCATGTAGTTACCAAAGTCTTCTTGCCTTTGTATAGAAGTTACATCTATTACAGCTGTCTTTGTGCAAGCCATCCCAGTAGCTTTGTGTGCTTTGATTCTCAGGGAGTCTGGATCATCTACTGTCTGCCTCTTACATGTCTGAGCTGTGTCACCAGCAACCTCATGGAAAGCTGGTTCTTTTGATTCTCATCCTCCACTCTGTGACCACTTGGTGCCCTGTGTTAAGTAAATTTTTTTTTGTATATTGCCTTTGGCAAATTACACATCTTTATGCAATTTTCTGATTATTTCATCGTTTGATCTGGACATCTGGATAGTTCTTTGATGTATTGTTCAACAGGAACCAGAATTATTTGTTTTTCCCTAGAGAAGCTGAAGAACCATTTTTTGTTTATTCATTACCGAAATACTTAATGATTAGGCTGGGGTTATGTTTGTTTGTGTCTGTTCATGTACACACATGAACTCATGCCTTACTAGGCATTCTCAGCACTTAGACTCATGGATAGATTTTTATGTGACTAATCATCCTCCATTTAACTCTTCTTTCATCTTCATAGTCTCCTTATAACTTAGGAGTGTGTGTGTGTGTGTGTGTGTGTGTGTGTGTGTGTGTGTGTTGTCTATCCTGCTTTTAAGTACTACTGTTACTTTCTTTATTCATTACCTGTTTTCTGTACTGGCCATACCTGAATCTATGGTCTTAAGGTCTTAAGTCCACTTACTCAACTCTTGAAGAAAGGTATTTATTTTGTTGTTGTTGTTGTTGAATTTGTGAGATGAACTCAACTGTAGTGGTTTGAATAATGCTCCTCTCAGAGTTGTATTCAGGTCCTAATGTAACCAGGGTACAACTTCTAAGGTTTGGAATCCACTGAATGGCTCCTGGCATCAATTTTTTTTAGGCCCCTGGCTCCTCACCTTGTCCCCATTGTTCTTGTTTAGAAACCTACCTACAGTTTCTCCTCACAGTGCCTTCTGGGAATAAGAATTCCACTTTTCTGGAAGCCTGCTTCCATTTTGCTTGTCTACATATGTCCCTCTAACTGTTTTTCATTAAGCCCTAATGCTTATAAATATGACTTGCCTTAGAAATAGAGGGTGTGCATATGGATTTCAGTTTGGAGGTACCACCATCTTATTTTAAGTTGAGCCCAAATACAAAGGCTAGGATCCATTTTAGATGATTTGACACAGCATGGAGACAGAAGAAAAGGCCATGTGCACACCCAGGCCAAGCTGGGTGTTCTGCCATAAGGAACACTGGAAGTCACCAGAGATGACATCAGGAAAGGGCAGGGAGCATGGCTCTCTGCATGCTCTGGTTTCAGACTTCTGGCCTTTAGATTCCTGTTTTAAGCCATTGTGGTTTTTTATAGCATTCCTAGGAAATTACTATGCCGACTTTGTCATTCCAATCTTTATATTCTTGTGGTTAAATTTGAACACGTGAATAACGACTCATCACTGTATGGAAATCAGCACATCTAAATGCAGCCCCATTTTTACTCTGTAGTCAAAAGTCCAAACTCATCTTGGTGTGTGTTTTATAGTTTTCATATCTACTAGAGAGCAGGCTTTCATGTATTCTCATAGTGTCTCCCTCTGCTCAAATCATCTCTAGAAAAATCCAGAGTAGAGAGTCAGAACATGCTTAACTTGTCTTCATATTGCTCTCTGTGGCTGACTGACACATTTGTGTTTCTTATTTACCATTTCCCAAGTCAGAAACTGTTACCAGCCATCATTTTTGGGATCTCAGGTTCATCTATTTACTGATCATAACTTTCCATTTGAAACTCTATTCCTTATCAGTTTCAGGATTCTTTGAACTCTAGGCAGGACATTTGAGTGGTTATGCTTATGTGAAGTCTCGCTTCTGATCCTTTCATAATGGAGTATGGCTGCCTCTGTCCTCTGTATCACCCTTCCCCACAGAATTGGTTCCTGATGAAGAATGCTCTACAGAGAAAAATCACTTTCTCTGAATCGGTCTTGTGTGTTTTGATTCGTGTGTACCTATTGCTAGGATTCTTATATAAATTATAATGAATTCTTGAGTTGATGTTTATATTCAAGTATTCATGAAGTTCAGCAGAACATATCTGCTTGTGAATGAATGTTATTTATTTTGTTGCTATTTTGTTTTAAATTTTAAATAAAAATATAAATTGTAATGACATATACATCTACTTGAACAATTTAGTTGAATTTTTAACAAATGTTATGTTTCTAGTCATTGAAAGTAATAGCAATGAAATATGCAAACATAACTGAAAGAAAAAAAATATGTATGACCAAAACTGCTATTGCTTGTGATGCAGCATAAACCACAAGGGTGCGCTGTTTAACAGAAGTACAGCACTCCAATTTTTCCATTTTTACCCCCTTTAACACATCTTTAAAAAAGAAGAAAGAAAATGTTGAAATGGTTATGTTATGTTAGAAAACCTTATTTTGTTTGGTAAAGTGACAGAAAAGTGAACTAGAAATATGAGTATTAGTAATGCATGAAAAACATTTATAATGAACAACATTTTCATTTTAACCTTTGGTTCATTTTGGTCACCTTTTAAGTAGTCACTGGTCCAGTGGTCACCTTTGTTAATCAATACTTACTCTAAATGTGTCTGTTTTTGAATAAAAGTATTAACTACATCTCTTCTACTTTTTGGCTCTCCATATTTAATAATTTGCCTCATTCTTCCAGGACATTTCTCAACATTGGCAAATTGAGGTACTTGGATAGTGATTCTGGAACAAACACTGGGATTATTCACATAGCTGACTGTTGATTTTTCAGTATAATTTTGACAGTTGCTTGTGCTCTTCCCAAAAGTGTTCATTAAACCAACTTAACAAAATACCCTATCCTAACCTTTGTGGGATTTCTGATGGAACAGGCCATCTAAAGAATAAGTTTTACTGTCATTCCATTTAAGTCAGGGCTATCATGTCTTTTTTCATGTACATAAATTTTCTGTACACTTTGGCATGATTTTCAGCCCCATGTCATTTTCTCTATAAAAGAATGTATTGCATTCTATGAAAATGTTCATTTCAAAATGAATTTCCAATTGGAAAATTTCTAGCAGTTTTTCCTGAAACGTTTCAGAACATTTTCTTAAGCATTTTCTCCCCAGTGATTTGAAATGTCATTTGTGTTACAAGGTATATGGTATTCATCTTTTGTTGTTATATGTATGGACAGTTAAAATGGTATTCCTTTGTATAACCATATACAGACAGATTGTCAAACACAGTGGCATTGACTTAAAACTAATACAGAATTTTGGAATTAAAGCTAAGTATAGGAATCCAATTCTTATACTCAGTTGTTGTCTATTGAAAACACATTTAACAAAACCAGTAGGCAGAGGATGGATGGCCTTGCCTTTTAGGCCAGTTAACCTCTTAGGCTTATTTATGTTTCGAGTGGAGGTAGAAGAGTTAAAAAGAAATGGTTAGAAAACTTCACCCACAGAATTCTCAAAACCTGTGGAGAATTTTTCACTTGCATATTTGGTGTAGTCTTACTGCT